TAGTTTCAATTTTTAATTTCATGCACTTTGAATTGAATATAATTGCAATTGTATAGCTAATTTTCGAAAAAAAATTCTTGAAAAAGAAGAAAAATTGCGAGTGGCCACTTGCGCGAGAGTCAAGTAGTCATAAAGAATGTAGGAAAAGTATAAAATTAAGAGATTTGGAAAAATCGGCTTTTAATTAACTCCTCTAATTATCAAACTTGAATATTCTTTTATATATATTGGAGGCACTTGAGGAACCAATCGCTTTTGCCAAACAATAGCCGCGCCCAGAGCTCATGGGGAACTTGGATGAATTGTTTCATCAAGTTAGAAATTATTCAAAAATCTTTGCAATAAAAAAAAATTATTTGAATATGGATTTATTTTTATTTTGTTGTAATTTTTCTGAATTTATCATTCGATTTTCTTAATTATTTTAAATAAAACGTTCGAGATTAACGATCACGCTATGGTAAATAAAAATAAATTCTTTTTTCAATTTAAAAAAAAAAAATTTTTTCAATTTAAAAATAAATAATAATAATAAAATAAATTATAAATAAAACGTTGAGATTAACGATCACTCCGAGTCTTTGACTCGGAGTGCTCGTGAATCTCAACGTTTTATTTTTATTTTTTGAAAATTCGTCAGATTTTTTTAAATTAAAAAAAAAAAATTTAAATTTAATTAAAATTTTAAATTTCAAATTGAAAAAATTTTATTTTTCAAATTAAAAAAAAAAAGAAAAAATAAACTCCGAAATTTTATTTTTTTTTCTCGCAAAATTTATTCGCATTGTGCGATAATCACCCTCTCGGAATAATCGAATATCTCACCTGCGTCTAAAATGTTAAACATCGCATGACGTACCGGAAATGATTGTTAGTTGGGTGCGAATTCTCCCTCTCTTTGCATCGTAAATGGCTCACTTTTATTATTTTTTTTTGCGCCAGAAGAAAACGAAACTTGAAATTATGTAATTTTTTTCTATTTTCACTTTCACTTTCATTTCCATTTTCATTGATTTTTACTTTCGCTTTCTTTTTCACTGTTGTAAATTTTCTGCTTATTGTTGTTTTCATTTTCATTTCCACTTTGATAGAATTTTATTTTCACTTTCACAAATTTTTATTTTCCTTTTCATTTTTATTTTCTTTTTTGCTTTCAGTTTGACATCAAAGTTAAAATGAAAGTGAGAATAAAAATTTGTGAAAATAAAAATGAAAATAAAAGTGAAACTAAAATTAAAAAATCAGTCAAAGCGAAAATGAAAGTGAGAATAAAAATCTGTCAAAGTGAAAGCGAAAGTGAAAGTCGACGTGAAAATGAAATTAAAAAAATTAAATTATAATTAAAATGAAATTATAAATAATCGAGAATCCAGAAAATGATAAAAGATGTAAAAACCAAGAGAGAGAGAGAGAGAGAGAGAGAGAGACGAAAAAAATTCGTAAAAGTAAAAAAACGACAAGAAATTAAAAAATGAGATCATATGAAGTCAATTATCAGACAAAAAATATAAAATTCTTTGTAAGAGCCAAGCGAAAAAAAAGTTTTCGAGCCGGAAGTGGAAGACAAAGCTCAGCTTCTGAAAAATTCTCCTCGAGAGTACACATATGAATATAAAATTGGTTTGTTGTAATCAAAATGCTTATAATTGTCCATCCATATCGTCCGGTTTTGATGACAACGGAATGAACGCATCGTTTCTCGCGTGTAATTAGCTTCGCCGCTTACTTCCGATTCTAGAGAGAAAGGAAGAATGAAAGAAAAAAGAGAGAGAAAAAATATAGAGCGAGAAAAAAATATAGAAAAAGGGAGAAAAAGAGAGAAATAGAAAAAAGAGAGAAGGAGAAAAGAGAGAGAAAAAAATATAAGAAAATAGAAAAAGAAATAGAGAAAAAGAGAGAAATATAAAAAAAGAGAGAAAGAGAAAAGAGAGAGAAAAAGATATAAGGAAATAGAAAAAGAAATGGAGAAAAAGAGAGAAATAGAGAGAAATAGAAAAAAAGAGAGAAAAAGCTATAAGAAAATAGAGAAAAAAATAGAAAAAAAGAGAGAAGGAGAAAAAAGAGAGAAAAAGACAGAGATATAAGGAAAAAGGAAGCAACAGAGTGAAACAGAGAGAAACAGAGAGAAAAAACAGAGAGAAAAAGAGAGAGGGAAAAAAAGGAAAGAGTTCCTAAAGCCATTTCCGAAAGGGCACCTTTTTCCTGTTACAATTTTATGATGGCCCCCATCATCGTCGTCGCAAAGTAAAAAAAGAGAAAGGTGCACGCGTGTATTCGTGTGAGGGAACTGCGTGATGCCCCCCTCGAAGCTTCCCTCAGGTAAAGTGTTTTCGACCTTATCGCTCCTCGAGTCCTCGGAATCTAACCATATGTCGCACCACACGGTTCTCGATTCTCTCAACCTACATACATTTATATATTATTGTATATATACAATAATTGGACTCGAGATAACTTATCGATATAATACCAACTTCTAATCAGATCGTCCCTTTTATATATTGTATTTTTTTCCTCTCTCTTTTTTTTGCACCTTTTTTCTCCTTTTGATAACACTCCGATAACTTTTCTAAAAAACACTATATTTACTTTATCAATAATAAATAATAATAATAGTCATAATATACAAGTAAATAGAAAAAGTAGTAAAGAAAGTACATAAAGAATAAATAAATTAAAAAAAAATTTAAACAAAAAAAAAATAAAATAATAATAAAAAATTCTTCCTCTATGGAAAAGCATTATTATGCAAGTAAATAAATAATAATAATAATATTACACGAGTAAATAAATAAAAATAATATTACACAAGTAAAATAGTATAATAAAAAAAAGAAAAATTGCTACAATTTTGACGAATAGAAAATTTAGACTTTGGAGTAAACATTGCGATTAACGACCACGATACGAAAAAGAAATAGATTCAAATAGTAAAAAAAATCATTGTAGTTTTGAATCGAGTAAACAAATTTATCGTATCGAGTAGAAAAATTTGCAGAAAGTAAAATTTTGCAAAATAATTCAATTTTGAGGTGCGGAAAAAAACGTATTTTGTAATGTGACGGTTTTTAGAAATTAATAATTCAATCTCAAAATTTTAATTAGTAAAAATTTGTAACCAATTTGAATTTAACTTTTTAATTAAAAAATTAGTTAATTAGTAAATATTACTAATAAATAGTAATTTTTACCAATTTATTAGTAAATTTTATTAATAAATAGTCAATTTTACTAATATGACTTTTTGCTTTAGTAAATAAATTTTTAATTAGTAAATTTTACTAATAAATAGTAAATTTCTCTAGTAAATATTAATTAATTATAATTCATTAATAATATTAAATTAGAAATTTAAAGATTAATAAGAAATAAGAAAATAAAAATGGAATAAGAAAACAAGAAATTAAAAATATAATTATTAGAAATATGAGAAACATTAGAAATATTCTGGTAAAAGTTGCAATGGAAAATAAATGAAAATCTTGGAAAATACCCGATAGGGAGATTAAAGTCTATTGACTTTTTGGCTCGTGTTTATTGAGGAAAGCTGCTATGTTGAACTATCGAGGGCAGGTGCTTAGCTGCTCAGCTGTTGCTTCAACAGAACGCATTGCGTACTAGAACGAAGCGTACACATTCAGGTAACATCAACGCCTGTCTAGTGAATATACACACGCATCTCAAAACTAAATACCCTTAAATCAATTTTTTCCTAAAATTATACATTTACAGACAACGAAAATGCCAAAAAAAAAATTTCGATAATTATCCACCCCTCTCCTGCCAAAAAAACAATCTTTTCGATTTTTAAAAACTTAAACACCCAAGAAAAATAGATTTTTTGTTTCCGAAACTAAAAGTCTCTAGAACTTTGTAGTTTTTGTTTCATTAACCAAAAGTATATAGATTTTTGTATAGTTTTACAAACAAAAATCTATTTTGATGATAATTTATCATCAAATAATAAAACCGAACGTAAAATTATCGATAATCAATCAAAAATCTATTTTTGTTTCCTAAATTAAAATCTATTTTTTTTTTCTAAAAAAAATCATAAATTTTTGTTTTTTTCTTTCATAAGTAACAGAAAAATGAAAATGTACATAAAGATTTTGTTCTTAAGAAATTTTAAGAAGAAAAAACCAGATATTCATTCAATTTTTATAGTTCAATATAAAAAAGATTTAAAAAAGAACAGCAAACTGCAATGTACATCGAGCTTTAATTCTTATGCCATTTTTTTTTATTTTTTTGAAAAGACGATTAAAAATGCAAGAGAGGAGAAAAAAAAATCTCAAGGCTTAGTAAAACAACAACGGTAAATAAGAAATTCAATGGTGCAATTTTCTTAAATCGAAGAAGAGTTATGTATATAAAAGTATACTCGAGGAGACTCCCTTGCTATTTTGAGGCGCAGCTTCTCTTAAACCACGACCCTCGATACTCAAGAATGGAGATACATATATATATAGAGCGCAAAAGTACTACTCATTTCTTTTTTTTCTTATTTCGTGTACTTCAGAGATTATCGTGCACTCGGACAAGCTTTGCGAATCGATGTTCTTTCAACAACTTTTTCCTCATTTACCCAAACCACCGAGTTCTTTTCAATTATACCGCATATATACCGCGGTAAAATGCAGATCTATTATGTCTTGTCTTGCGTCCATGAAAAGAGTTAAAAAAAAACAATTTCGAATAAATTTTTTTTTGCGGATTAATAAGAAAATTGATCAATACTTGAAAATTTTTTTCATTGAGTAAAATTCGTGTAATTAGAAAACATTTTTTTTAAAAATTAAATTTAGTGAAGTATCTATAAATTTTTTGCTACAGCAAAAAAAGTTTATGTAAGGATATCAATAAATTGAGACAAAGAATCAAATTTTATGTTGGAACATGTTTGATTTGTCCCAAATTTGATAAACTTAGAAATGTGCATGAATTAAAATTTGTTTTGGAATTTAGAATTAAAGTTTGTGTAAAATTTTTTGTTGCAGACGGAAAATAAAAAAGAGTGGCTAATCGAGAAGAGGGAGCGAGGGGCAGTTAGCCCTTTGGCGAACTCGAAGGATGCAGCTCCCAGGGGGGAGCACGAGGATTCCGCGAGCGAGCGTTCCAGCGGCTATTCTCGCTATAATAACAAGCAGCAATACAATAATTGACAAATACCAATACAAGTGTAAATCGAGAAATAGTAAAATTTGCGCAAGTAGATATCGTCGTGGCTGCGGCATAAGCAAGGAGTGCTGCACAAGCCTCGACCACGAGCCGATCCCATTGAAAAAGCGTCGCGGTTTCGACTCGAGTACAATCCGTCGACACCGAGATACACGGCGGAAGGTGTGGAACAAGGAATAGTAATAAGAAGAAGATTAAGAAACAGGAGAAGAAGAAGAAGAAGGAGGCGAAGGGACGAGGAAAGGGAAGAAGATATCGAGAAAGTGTGCTGTCGTCAATAAGGGCGACGGCGCCGGAAGAATCAGGCAAAAGAAGAAGAAGAAAAAGAAGTTGGAGGAGGAAGAGGAGGAAGAATCAGGAAAAAGAGTGAAGGAGAAAAATCAGCAACGGTTGTCGACGACGAAGGAGAAGGAAAAGTGGAAAGGGAACTTGAGAGTGGCTGAAAAGAGGGGAGACCTTACTGAAAGAAACGAGGAGGCAGCAGCTGCAAAGGTGGTAGGGGAAGAAATATCGTGTAGAAGCATCCACAGTAGTAAAGGCAGCGCTCCGTGTTACGAGGGGCTATTCAAGCGCGAGGGGGAGGGGTGACAAGAAGCCCTGGCGGGGAGGGGAAGCGGAGGCCTTCGGGGGGCCGACCAACCAGACGGCTGATGATGTCATCGGAGGAGGAGACCGAGTGTTTCGCCCTCTACGGAGCAACCACGGACAGTAAGCAACAGCAACTCTTGAAGAAGCAGAAGCGCACCAGACAGCGCGTGGACGCCGGCGAGCCGCGTAACAGCTACTCGAGTATACCGAACTTCACGTCGCGACCTTCATTTCCCGGCGGTGCATTTTACGGCGCGATATTCAGTGGTAACGGTGTCCCGCACCAGAACACCCAACAACCGCTTCAACAGCAACAACAACAACAACAACATCACCAGCAACTCCAGCAACAGTCTGGAGTGCCTAGAACCCAAGGTCATCTAGGTGCTACAACGACGGGTCCCACGGCAGCCCAGCAGCATTCCGCCCACCCGGCCTTCGGGTTTTTTGGGGCAACGGGCTTCGGCCCTCCCAAGATGCTTAACGAACTCCTAGGCCGACAGGTCAAGCAGGCCAGCGACGCTGGGGGATCGCCTCTCGAAGGGAGTCACGGAATGACAGGGGCTGGCATGGAATCTGCCACCAATTTGCAGCAGGGGGCAGTTGTCAACTGTGACGAACTCACGACCGCAGAATTGGCGCCTCACATGCTACGCAACTTGCTCCAAACGCACAAGCTCAATGCTCTCTCTGCGCAGGACCAGCCCACCAACAACAACAGTATCCACAACAATAACAACAACAACACAACCACGGACCTACTAAAATCCCAACAGCATCAGCAACACAGTCCTCATCATCAGCAAAATAGTGAGAGTGCGCGCAGTGGAACAGTGCAGAGTGGCGGCGAGGAAAGTGTCGATGGTAATGTGAATAATGCGAACCACAGTGATCGTGATAGCGTGATGCCAGGTGATGCTGAAGACAGCGCTGAAGATGCTGCTTCAGCCCAGCGCGCAATGGACGAGGCTCTAGCCGAAGCCGGCATGGAGCCCGGTGCAAATTTAGACGGTTCCGATTGTGAGCAAAGCCTTCCATCGAGTCCCTCGGTCCCACAATCCGGATCCGTATCGATAAAAGAAGAAATGCAGGACTCAATAAACGTCAAACACAGTCCCAGCAATTCGCCATGTCCCATTCTTCCAAAGACCGAAACCAATTCCCCAACCACCGAAATAAAACGTGCTCGAGTCGAGAACATTGTCAGCTCGATGCGAAGCAGTCCCGCATTGCAACCAGTCACTGTCAACGGCTGTAAAAAACGAAAACTCTACCAACCCCAACAGCAGACGGTTCACCACGTTCACCAACATGGCGTCACCGACTCAATGCTGGACTACGAGGAGGACAGCGAGGAAGAGGACACCCTACCAATAAAAAAGAAACGCGACAATCTCAAAATGCAATTACAAGGCATGCAAGAAAAATTAGCGGAAATGCAACAAAAGTACAACGAGCTCACCAACAAAGTCGACGCCGAAGCGTTAGACATCGGAGACGCGCCACCTAGTCCGCAACTACAACCTCTTCCCCCACCGAGACCACAACGACCTCATCCACCATCCTACAATGGCATCGCCAATTTAACACCCGATCATCCTCACGTTGCTGCTGCAGCCGTCTATCACAAAATGTACCTCGAGCAACAGCAGCAGCAACAACAACAACAGCAACAACAACAACAAGCTGTTCTCGAAAGAATGAAACAACATCAAGAAGCCGCCAGGCAGCAACATCAACAAAATTCACCCCAACTATCAACCACATCACAACAACCAAGCCAAAACAATACCGCACCACCAACTCCCCAACCCCCTCAATTGCAATCATCAAACACACCTCTACTCCACAAAGACTACAAAGATTTTCAAGATCGATTACAAGTCTTCCGAGGAGCAAATCAAAGTACAACCTCCTCATCAGTGACACACATAACAGGCGATGAACTAGAGGGTTTCGCGGATACATTAAAAAAAGAAATCAGCACCTCACTATCATCATTAATTGACAGTATATTCGCGAGGTACGCCCCACAACGGCGACTTCTAAGTAAACATAATGAGGCCGTTCAATCGGCAACCGAGCAATTCAGTAAAGTTGATTTAATGGCGAGTCAAGTACTCGAGAGGAAGTCACCGAGAACGAAGGTAGTTGATCGAGGAGCACCCCAAACACCGGGTGGCCCAAACGGACTACGGGGGCCCCTAAACGGTGGGCCCCCGCCTCCACAATCTACGGGGTTTCCCCAAATCGGTCCCATGGGTGGTGGTCCCCATGGTCCACTCTCTGGTCCCACAGAAAATAATCTCAATCAAATAAATCAATTGCCCCCACATGTTAGGCCAAGTGTTGGTATGTTTCAAACTCCGAAACCATCGACAATTTATGGCATGTCATCAATGCATGCGCAACAACAGCAACAGCAGCAGCAACAACAACAACGAGATCAACAACGGGATCAACGTGAACAATATTGTAATTTGAGAAATGACGATAGAGAAAGCAGGGACTCGGAACAAAATGAGGCACTATCGCTTGTCATGACGCCAAAGAAAAAACGCCATAAGGTTAGTATCTAATGATTCTATTAGGTTAATGATTACCTGTTGACTCGAGATTAATCGGTATTTACTAATCCTTTTTCTACTGAACTGATCAGCACTGTTTTTATACCGTTGGAATGATCATCTTTACTACTCGAAAGATAATTTTATTCTCTTTATACTCGAATCTCTTTTTTTCTGAGATCTCAAAAAATCCATTTTTACTGATCTATTAGAACCAAACTACTAATAATTAATTCTACACTTTATCACTGAACTGATCATCACTATTTTTTCTGTGCTACTCAACAGGTCATTAGTGACCTTTCGTTGCTATTTAACTGATTATCGCTGCTCTCCTTCAATTAATGAGGTCATTAATAGAAGATCGCAGATTAATAGATGATCGCATTTTTTCTTTAATACTCAACTAATCATCTTGTTTTTACTATTTATATTTTACAACTGATCATAATTTTCCCTACTGATATATTTGTTTTCATTATTCAATAAATTAATTAATCAATCATTATTCAAATCATCATCAATCAAAATTAAAATACAATCATTTTTAATTGATTTCCCAATTTACTTTTATTGTTATGGTTGAAAAAATTATAATTGCTAACTAAATAAATAGAAATTGCTGTATAGAAATAGTTGTTATTGATCATCATGATAGAAATTAGTTTTTATAATCATCTAGACTTATAATAATTAAGAAGTAGTTATTTTCTATTTATGATAACAATTGTAACTGATCTTTATTGATCTTTAAGGATCTTGACAAAAATAATTAACAAAATTAATCTTTACGAACAGAAATTTTTACATTTAATTGGATCTTTCCAATAAAAGACAGACAAAAATATTATTAATGATCGTAATCGTGATTACTGATTTTTTTTGGTTCTTGATAATTCAGCGTTTTAATTAATTAATTAATTTGATTATTCTAAGAGCAATGATAAACTGTAAAAACTGTAAAAATTTAAACATGATTAAAAAAGATGATTATCAATAACAACTCTTGTTAATTAGAATTTTTTTGAAAGTGAAGAACAAAAATGAATCCTGAGTCTTTAAATTCAAATTAAATTGGATTACATATTGAATTGGAATTCAAACAGAATTAAAATTCAATTAAAATACAATTAACTTTAAATTCAGAAATAAAAATTCAATTACAATTAATATGAAATTCAGAAATAAGAATTCAATTACAAAAAACTTGAAATTCAGAATTAAAATTGAATTAAAATTGAATTAAAATTGAATTAGAATTCAAATAAAATTGAGTTACAACTCAAATAAAAGTGGAATTTGAAATAATTACAATTTCTAATTATAATTTAATGGATAATTTATTTACAATAGATTTCGAAATTAAAAAAAAACGTAAAAATTAAAATTGAATTACAATTGAATATAAAATTTAGTCATAATAGATTTCAAAATTAAAGAAAAAAAATTGAATGAATGAAAAAATTGAATGATGATGATTATATTGAAAGTAATGTTAATTAAATAGAATTTTTCTAAATAGAATAAAAAAGAACGAATTCTTTCGTCTTCAAATTCAATTTGCAAAAAAATGATAAATCCTTTCGTCTTTAAATTAAAATAAATGCGGAAAAGAACGAATTCTTTGTCCTCAAATTCAAAAATTGATGAAAAAAGTAAAAAAAAAGTCTTTAAAATCAAATTAAAAATTGTTGAATTCTTTTGTCTTCAAATTCAAATTGTAGAAAACTGATGATTCCTTTCGTCTTAAAATTAAAATAAATGCAGAAAAGAACGAATTCTTTGTCCTCAAATTAGAAAATTGATGAAAAAAGTGAAGAATTCTGTATGTTGAAAATCGTATTTAAAAATGCTGAATTCTTTTGTCTTTAAAATCAAATTTTTAAAAAAATGATGATTCCTTTCGTGTTCAAATTAAAATATTTGCGGAAAAGAACAAATTCTTTGTCCTCAAATTAAAAATTTGATGAAAAAAGTGAAGAATTCTGTGTCTTCAAAATCAAATTAAAAAATATTGAATTCTTTTGTCTTTAAATGAAAATAATTGCAGAAAGGAATGAATTCTTTGTCCTCAAATTCAAAAATTGAAGAATGAAGAAGAATTCTGTGTTTTCGAAGTAGAATTATTAAAAAAATTGATGAATCCTATTGTCTTCAATTTCAAATTGTAGAAAAATGATGATTCCTTTCGTCTTCAAATTAAAATTGTAGAAAAATGATGATTCCTTTCGTCTTCAAATTAAAATTGTAGAAAAATGATGAATTTTTTCGTCTTTAAATTCCAGTCAGATGAAGAAAGAAAGAACAAAACGAGCGAAGAAAAAGGATTCATCTGAAAATTAACACCAAATAAAAACAAAAAATTGTGAATTTGAAGAAATGAAGATTTGAATTGAACTGAATTTAATTTCAATTCAATTTCAATTCAATTCAATTTAATTTCATTTCATTTTAATTTTAATCCCATTTAATTTCAGTTAAAATTGCTATAGTCAATAAGTATAATTAATAACATTAACCATAAGTGAATAATTTTGTGATCATAACAATAAAGAAATTTATTGAAACAGTTGTTTTCTCAGGTGACCGATACAAGGATTACTCCAAGAACAGTGTCGAGAATCTTAGCGCAAGAGGGTTCAGTGTCACAGGGCGGAAGTGATAGTCCACCACCACCGCCGCCCCCAAGAACTTATCACACACCGATGCTGCCAGTGTCTCTGCCAACGAGTGTAGCGATACCAAATCCAAGTCTCCACGAGAGTCAAGTATTCTCACCGTATTCGCCATTCTTTAATCCTCATCCGGGACATCCGGGTCAGGTACCACCACCAGGGCCTCACCATCTTCCGGCAAGTCCACCCGGCAGTGGTATTGAGCTCAGGGATTCACCTCCACTGCCTCATCCCCCGGCCATGTTGCATCCTGCACTTTTAGCGGCAGCGCAACACAGCAGTCCAGACTACGGACATCTCAGGATGGACAGCAACGACCGAGGTAGCGATTGCAACTCCGGTGATATCAGTTACGACGGAGTTCAGCCTACAATATCCTTTTACAATACTTTTTTAAATCTCAATTTCATTCGGAAATCTTGTTTTCTAATTTAACACGAAAATTTTTACCATATTATTGCAATATTTTTTATTATTCGATCGAGAAACAAAAATAAGAAACAGGAAATTTTTCTAACTGGAATTTTGCTAACGAAGAATTGTAACTGGAATTTTGTTAGCGAAGACTTATTTTCAGAAATTTAGAGAAAAGTGAATTTAATTCATTAGCATTAATTTTATAATTAATTCTTTAAGCAATTAATTCAAAAATGGCTAAAAATAATTTAATTCATTGACTAAATAACTAAAAGAAAATAAATTTAATTTTTGATTCAATTTGAGAATTTGGAGATTTCTCCACCTGAGAACGCCAAGGTCGCCGCTAGATGGCAGTTCGCCAGCCACCTAGCGGCGACCTTGGCGTTCTCAGGTGGAGAAATCAAACCTCCATCTTCTCCCTCAAAATTTTTGTTCCTGCAACTCTTACGAACTTTTTTTGACACTTAGTATTTTTTCTTTCTAAATTCAAAACCGAAATGTTAAAATTCAGTCTTCCATTTGGTTTTAGTTATTTAAACAAAAAATCTCTTTTTAATATTAAAAACTACGAAAATTAAATTAAAACTTAAAACTTTCTTTTTCGAGAGAAAAAATTGTCGGCGAAGAACTGAAGAATTTTGGTCCACAATTTTCGCAATAGTTTTTAGTCAGGCGCAGAGGCTTTTTGCAAAGAAACTTTAGGCCGAGGAGTTTTTCCGGCAAAGAGCGGAGGCAAACTAGCCCCAAGGAGTTAATTGTAGTTTTGGACGAATGTTTGATTAGTTTCCCCACAGGAGTTAGACGATTGTTTCGGACTACACGTATACGGAGCCGAGAGAGTTTGTCCAACAAACTGAAAAGTCCAGTAACTTTTCTTTTCTCCTTCGAAACTCCCCGATTTTCATATAAATTCACCGGAAAAACTCAAGACACGAAGATTCGTTCCAAATTTCTTCCCTTCTCAAAAAAAAAAAAAAAAAAAACAGTTGAGAAGTACACAATTTTTTTCCATCACTAAAATTTATTTTTCCCCGTTTTCTTCCATTCAGAACTTTAGAAATTTTTCTTCTTTTCTAAAAATTGAAAATTCCTTCTCTTTTCGATTTTTTTTTTTATTTAAAAATTCAGAAAATCTATATTTTTCGAAAAATGGTAACATTTTGATTCAAAATAAAAATTTTGAACTGGAAAAAATTAAACAAATTCTACAGTAAAAAATTTTCCGGAAATCGGGAAAATTTTTTACTGTAGAATTTGTTTAATTTTTTTTTCAGTTCGAGTTTTTTCTACAGAGAGAATTTGAGAAATATACTCCCAATATAGAGCGGGCAAAAGAAAAAAAAATTGATGAAAAAGTGAATCTCTTACTACTGTATTGTGTTGGGAGAATTTTTAAAGTTCCATGAATAGATCACTTGCCGCATCAGTTGGTTGTGCACTTTTTCTCTGATCACCTTATTGCCGAGCGCCTTGGCGGGAAAATTTCGAAAGGGTATTCAACGTGCCATGAGATCGGCTTGCAGAAAGACGGGCGACTATGGTAACGCAGGCCGATTGAACACGGTGCATCGTAACTGCAGCGTTCGATCGGCACACGAGGATTCTTTGCCGCCTTTTTAGACTGCCTTTGATGTAAAATCAATGGCGTATTTTCCCTATATATATACATACATTGTCCTAGGTCGAGAGTTTCAAGCAAAAACCACTCTCGCATCAAAATTTCATTTTTCCCCTCTCACTAAAATTTTTTCCCCCTTCTTTCGTGCTGAGAGTCTTTTTCTTTCTCTATATAGTCCGATTCTACCCGATTCGAGTGTTTACTCCAATTTTCTAAATATTATTTTCAATTTTAATTTCAATTTAATTTTCAATTTAAATTTCAATTTCAATTTCAATTTAATTTTCAATTTAAATTTCAATTTTATTTTCAATTTTAATCTCAATTTAAATTTCAATTTTATTTTCAATTTTATTTTCAATAATGTTCTCGAAAATTATTTGAGAAAATATTTTCTAAAAAAAAATTCTACTCCAAGGAGTAAAATTTTTAACGGTAGAATTATTTCATGAAAAATTATCCCAGAGAGTAAAATTTTTACTGGTAAAATTATTTTTAGGAACAAATATTTCCAAGAGTAAAATTCTTGCAAGTAAAATTATTTCTTGAGAAAATATTTTCAAGGGTAAAATTATTTCTCGAGAAAATATTTTTAATAGTAAAATTATTTCTCTAGAAAATATTTTTAATAGTAAAATTATTTCTTGGCAATATTTGCAAATGTAAAATTATTCTTTGCGAAAGTATTTTTGCTAGTAAAATTTTTTCATGGCCAAATATTTAGAGTAAAATTTTTTCTTGGGATTATAATTCTTTGGGTAAATTTTCTCTTGAGCGAATATTTTACATAGTAAAATTTTTTTAGAAGTAATTTTATTTAACATTAAAAAAAAATCTTGAAACAATATTTTTGAGCGAGTAAAATTTTTACCGGTAAAATTATTTCTTGAAAAAATATTTTCTGCGGGGAAAATTATTTCTGAAAAAAATAATTCCTAGAGTAAAATTTTTGCCTGGAAAAATATTTCCAAGTGTAAAACTTCTTCTTGAGAAAATATTTCCAGGAGTAAAACGCGTCCCTGAGAAAATAATTCCAAGAGTAAAATTCTGTCTGAAAAAAAAATTTCCCAGAGTAAAATTTTCCCTGCGAAAATATTTTTAGGAGTAAAATTTGTCCCTGAGAAAATTATTTCCAGAAGTAAAACTTGTCCCTGAAAAAATATTTCCAACTGTAAAATTTCCCCTGCAAAAAATATTTCCCAGAGTAAAATTTTGTCTAGGAAAATTTTTTTTTTCATTTAGGAAAATTTGAAGATAGTGAGAAATAATGTTGATAATTTAAAAATAATAGAACGGGTGGGGAGGGGGGGGTGATAATAATAATTTAGAAATGAGGAGATCAAGTCCGAATAAGAATGAAACCACATCAAGAGATCCTATTACAGATAAGGAGTCGGTAAGGCTTCGGTTTGAAGATGTGGCCAATCGTGGGTCAACCGTGGAACGTTAGAACCCTGCCCCTTCGTAACTTCACTTCTCCACAGCTTGTACGATTTCTAATCTCATTTGATGATACAAAGGAAAAAACAAAATTAAGTTTGAGAAATCTGCTCAGTTCTTGCGCCTGACAATTTTATTCCTGCGGTGGAAAAAAGAGAATTTCTTTTTTATTTTTAAACTCGTATATTTTTTTTGTAATTCGAATTTTTGGATTTTTATTTTTGAATTAATTACTACTTCTGAATTAATTACCACTTCTGAATTAATTACCATTTCTGAATTAGTAGTTACGAATTAAATTTTGTTTCTAAATTAATTACTATTCTTGGATTAATATTTATTTTTGAATTAATAATTTCTGAATTTGGAATTTCGAATGAATTACTATTTCCGAATTAATTAGTATTTCTGAATTAATTTATATTTTTTAATTAGTATTTTTGAATTAATAATTTCTAAATTAGTATTTTTGAATTAATTTCTGGATTAATTACTATTTTTCAAAAAAAATAATTAGTATTTCTGGATTAACTACTATTTTTGAATTAATTGCAATTTTTAAATTAATTGGTATTTCTGAATTAGAATTTCCGAATTAAATACTATTTTCGTATTAATTACTATTTCTGGTTTAATTACTAATTTTTGAAATAATTACTATTTTTGAATTAATTTTTACTTTTGAATTACTATTCTTGGATTAATTATTATTTCTATTAATTTTTATTTTTGAATTTACTATTCTTGGATTAATTACTAATTAAAATTGCTAATTTTGAATTAATTTTTACTTTTGAATTACTATTTCTTGAATTAAAATTAGTATTTCTGAAATTAGAGACTCAGAATAAAATTTAAAATTATATTTAGTAAAATTGAAAATTATTCATTTAGCCGTAAGTTTCCTGTATTAGCAAATATTTCCCTTAACCACAGTGCACTCGTCGACGTTGACACCGATGCATCTCAGGAAGGCGAAACTGATGTTCTTCTGGGTGAGGTATCCGTCCTCGGCTGTCCTCAAAATGTACTTCCCCGACATCAAATTCAACAAAAATAACACCGCCCAGCTGGTCAAGTGGTTTTCCAATTTTCGGTGAGTGCCATTTTTTCTTTTTTACTATTTTCGTATTTTCTCTCCCGTCCTTCGAATTTTTCTCCTATTTCTGTATTTTTTCATCCTATTTCTGTATTTTTTCTCTCATTTTTCTATTTCCCTCCTATTCTTTTATTTTTTCTTCTATTTTTGTATTTTTTTGTTTTTTATTTCCTGTTCTGTACTTTTTTATCCTATTTTTGTATTTTTCCATCCTATTCTTGTATTTTTCATCCTTTCTTGTATTTTTTCTTCTATTTTTGTATTATTTTTTTGTTTTTTATTTCCTGTTCTGTACTTTTTCATTCTATTTTTGTATTTTTTTGTATTTTTTCATCCTATTCTTGTATTTTTCCTCTCATTCTTGCGTATTTTCTCCTATTTCTGTATTTTTTATCCCATTCTTGAATTTTTTCTTCTATTCTTGAATTATTTTTTCTATTTTTGTATTATTTTTCCTATTTTCGTATTTTTTTCTTTTTTTCCTCCTATTCGTGTATTATTTTTTCTATTTTCGTGTTTTTTTTCTCTTTTTTCATCATATTCTTGTATTTTTCCTCTCATTTTTGTATTTTTGTCCTACTTCTGTATATTTTTCTTCTTATTCTTCTATTTTTTCTCCTATTCTTGAATTATTTTTTTCTATTCTTGTATTTCTTTGTATTATTTTTCCTATTTTCCTACTTTTTTTCTTTTTTCCTCCTATTCCTGTATTATTTTTCCTATTTTCGCATTTTTTCTCTTTTTTCTCCTATTCTTGTATACTATTTTTCCTATTTTTGTATCTTTCTCATTTTCCCCCATTTTCAAACGTTTTTCTCTAAATATCCTTGTCACCAATGAATTTTTCTTCTTCTCCATTAAAAAACCAAATTTCCACCTGGATTCCAATTCAATTTTCCCTGGGAGAAAATTTACACTGATTTTTCTTTTTTTGATGAAAATTCGTCTCTTCCCGATTGTCTTTTTTTGGGGAGAAGGGGAGGAAGATGTTTGAAAATGTCGTGGCGAATTTCTATGGAAATTAGAACGTGTGTGCGGTTTTCGTTTTCAAATTGAAAACCACACCCTTTGGACAGAGAGAGAGAGGCGAACAAGGAGAGAACCCACGGGAGAATCTCAATGGGTGTGTCTGAATCTTAATTACCCTCCCCTGAGTAGTTGGGATAAGTAACGTGGCTACATATCGCGACAGGTAGTAGCAATCGGTTATGTTACCTACATATGACCACCAAGCCGCATTAGTCTGATTATAATTAGGCTGAGTACTTTCAGATCCAAGATATACAAAAATAGGAACCATTACACAGTCGTGTGTGACCTCAACTTTTCCTCCCATCTCCGTATTTGCATTTTTATTTTTCTTATAAACATAGAGTTCTCTTGGGCAAATTAAATCCCACGAAGAAAGTAGAAACGATGGCGAATAGAAAAAGAAAAAATTACTGTTAAATTTTTTCTTTTACTTTTTATGGAAGTAAAAAATTACAAATGTTTTTAAAAATTTGTAATTTTTATTTTCACTGTTTTGTATCTTTATCCGAATTTTGTAAAAATCGTCAAAGGAAGAAAAAAAGTGAAAAAAAAAATTTAAACTAATATTAAAAAAAAGAAGTAAAATTTTTTCGAAAGAGAAATAGAAGCAACCCTTGAAACCTGATTGCGAGGATTAATTGACAGGAGATTATATATTTGATGGATGATTAAATCAGATTTTTGAAATTGATTGAAGGATGAAAATTATTTTTGTCTTTGAAGAACATCAAACGAGAAAAAGAGAGAGAGAGAGTAAGGGGGGGGGGAAGAAGGAGTTAGGAATGATTTCTTGTCTTTTGTTTGAAGGTAATGACCGTCCGGTAGAAACGTCCCTTGTCATTTGAAAGCACGCTCGTTACCCTTCCAACCCCTTGTCGCCTTCCCTTGTTCCTTCAGCGGCTAATCACGTAAGGGTTTACCGTGGTTTTTCCTCGTCGTTTTCTAGCAGGCGTTGTCGAGCGTGCTCGATCTGATAGCCTAATGCACGGCTTCCTATGCGGAAATGCCTTCCAACATTATTCTATACGCCTTCCACTATTTTATACAAATGTGTGTGTTTGTGTTATACATTAGCGTTGTACTTTTTTGTCACGACAACATTCAAATTCATTTTCTCAAAAAAAAAGAAAAAAAATAGAAAATTATTAGTTATTAATATTAAATGCCTAATGGGGAAGAATTCTCATTCAATTTCCTTTCAATTTTTACTTAAAAACTTTATTTCACACGAAGTTTGTTTTGAAGGAGCAAAAAAAAGAAAGTTTTTTTTCACTTGTTTTCTTTAATGACGGACGTATTTTGTCTTGTCTTTGGAATTTCTTTTCGGGAAAAAAATGTCTCTTCCTGTTATGAAAAAGGAGGAGTGAAATTTATCTAGAGGTGTGATTAATTTCCTGCGTGTCAAGAAAATTGTTTTCTCAAGTCAACAAAAAAAAAAAAAAAAAAATAGTAAAAAAAGTAAGAAAAAAGTAAATTTTGATAAATAAATAAAGAAAAAGAAAGAAAAAAGTAAAAAGAAGTAAATTTTGATAAATAAATAAAATGAAATAAAAAAATAAAAAAATGTAAATGATTTTGAAAACTATTTCGGGAGTAAAATAAAATTTTCTAAAAGTTGCGAGTAAATTCGCAAAATAGGAAGAAAAAAAATTTAATTTCTGCTGAAAATCTGTTACGAGAGAAAATTTTTTACTGAAAGCTTTTTTTCACTTTGGAAATAAGCAAACTTCTAAAAAGCAAAATTGACTGAAAATTAACAAATTCATTCAAACAAAAAGTATTTTTTTAAAGCTTTCAGTTTCGGAGTAAATTTTACTAAAAGTAAATTTAATAATTTAAATAAAAATTGATTCATTTATTGAAAAATCGAAAGTAAAAGTCTATTAATTTATTTAAAAAATTAGAAAATAAAAATTTATGACAAATTAGAAAATAAAAATCTAATTTATTAAAAATTCGAAAATAAAAATCTAATTTATTAAAAATTCGAAAAGAGAAATCTAATTTATTAAAAATTCTAAAATAGAAATTTATTAATTTTATTGTTTCGTTGAAAAATTCTGGGAAAATTCAAAAATATTAATTTCTTAAAAATTAAAAAATAAAAATTATTAAAAAATCGAAAATAGAAATCTGTAAATTTATTTTTTTGTTGAAAAAGTCTGGGAAAATTAAAAAATATTAATTTATTAAAAATTTAGAAGAAAAATGCATTAATTTATCAAAAAGAAAATAATTTGGATAAAAAAACAAATTTTTCAAAAATAAGGAAAAAATTTATACATTTTTTTGACAGTAGCAAGGAAAAGATTTACAAAAGCCATATATAGAGATTTTTTCCAATGGAGAAAGGAGAAACTTTAAAGGATTATTTATTTCTTGTGTCATCTGCATATATGTATAGGTATAATGTTGAATATATATTATTGACAAGTTTCGTCGAATAAAGCCTTAGCGTTAGACGATTGGGGTCGTTGAGGATGGGGGTGGAAAGGAAAAAAAAGTGACAGAAGCTTCAACTGTGGTTAGTAGTTTATCAGATCTCACGACAGGACACGCGACTCAACTAAAATGATCATATCTTTTCGGATGGAAGAAAATTTTATGTCCTACGATAATCGACAATGGACGATCATACATACATATATGTATATGTGACATATTCTCTGCTTCGAGCAAATGAAAATTTCTTCTATTTCAATATTACTTTTGCCCTAATATTGTAATTTTACTTGGAATTTTTGCTTTTTTGTTTTGAATTGTACTTTTTGTTGAATAGTATTTTTAATATTGGATAGTATTTTTATTTTTGCTTAAAAATTACCTTCAGTTGAATATTGCCTTTATTAAAATAGTATTTTCGCTAAAATAGTATTTTTACTAAAATAGTATTTTCGCTAAAAAAGTATTTTTACTAAAATAGTATTTTTCCTAAAATAGAATTCTTTCTAAAATAGTATTTTTACTTGAATAGTATTTTTCCTAAAATAGAATTCTTTCTAAAATAGTATTTTTATTTGAATAGTATTTTTACTAAAATAGTATTTCAATCTAATTACTATTTTTAGTCAAGTAGTATTTTTACTTAGCTTGAAATTTACTTTTAGTCAAAATTTACATAAATAGTATTTTTTAGCTTGAAAAATACTTTTACTTAAATTTACTTAAATAGTATTTTTACTTAGCTTGAAAATTGCTTTTATTAAAATATTATTTTTACTAAAATACTATTTTTAATTAAATACTATTTATACTTTTCCTTAAAAATTACCTTTCGTTAAATATTACTTTTTCTTAGATACTATTTTTACTGAAATACTATTTTTATTCAAATACCATTGTAACTAAAATTCTATTGTAACGAAAATACTATTTTTACTCATATAGTATTTCTACTCAAATAGTATTTTTCCTCAGCTTGCAAATTACTTTTAGTTAAATATTTTTCTACTTAAATTGAATTTGCATTTAAAAATTACTTTTACTGAAGTACTATTTTTACTAAAATACTATTTTTACTTAGCTTGAAAATTACCTTTAAACCTTAGTTAAATATTTTTCGACTTAAATTTTGTTTGCACTTAAAAATTACTTAATTACTAAAATACTATTTTTACTTGCGCCTAAAAACTACTTTCAGTTAAAAATTACTTTACTTAGCTTGAAAATTACCTTTAAACCTTAGTTAAATATTTTTCGACTTAAATTTTGTTTGCACTTAAAAATTACTTACTTACTAAAATACTATTTTTACTTGCGCCTAAAAACTACTTTCAGTTAAAAATTACTTTCTTCGAAACATCGAAAATTTTCCCAAATTCTCATATTTATTCAGAAAATCCAATTATTTCCTCCCAATCTGATAAGAAAATTCTATCGAAAATTACCTAACAAATTAATATCGAAAAAAAATAATCATTTTCAATCACTCGATCAAAAATAGTCCCCCTCACAAAAATACAATA